TTAAGTTGATAAACAATTCTGTTTATCTCGAATTGATGAGAAAATCCGAGTTTCAAAGAAATATGCTTTAAACATATAATTTATATTGAGTAAAATAACGAAGTTATGGCCTTCTTGCGGTAGGCCGAAAGTGGCGGTCATCTTGAAAATATTTTAGATGGAAAGTTCCAAATTAACAACCCATGCTACCAAAATTTCATACTTCTACTATATATTTCTTGCTGCAGATGACAAATACTATGCAGTTCGAATTAAATTAATCCAAGATTATGCTCAACCCAAGATTTACTAAAATTCTCGAAAACCTGTTTCTTTTTTATAAGTAGTGCTATACAGTACAATTTAAACTGTTAAAAAAATCTGCTTATCTCGAATGTTACAAAAATTCAAAAAAAAATGGTTTTCTAAAGAAATGGGAAATGGCAGAAATATTTTTTCCATTGTTGCTTGTAGATGCTATGAAATACGTTGTGTTCTAAGTTGATCAGAAATGTTGCCCAACTCACAATTTGTAGAAATTCAAGAAATTACGCTTTCCAAAAAAGTTAGATGTTGCAAAAATAAATTTCTTTTCATATTTATTGCAATATATCCCGAAGAATAGGATATTAAGTTCAAATTAAGTTGATAAAAAATTCTGTTCTTCTCGAATTTATGAGAAAACCCGAGTTTCAAAGAAATATGGTTATAAAAATATAATTTATATTGATTAAAATTACGAAGTTATGGTCCAATTGCGGTAGGCCGGAAGTAGCGGTCATCTTGAAAATATTTTAGATGGAAAGTTCCAAATGAACAACCCATGCTACCAAAATTTCAAACCTCTACTGTATATTTATTGCTGCAGATGAAGAGAAATACGATGCAGTTCGAATTAAATTAATCAAAGATTATGCTTAACTCAAGATTTGCTAAAATTCTCGATAACCCGTTTCTTTTTTATAAGTAGTGCTATACAGTACAAATTAAACTGTTAAAAAAATCTGTTTATCTCAAATTTTACAAAAATTCAAAGCAAATTGGTTTTCTAAAGACATGGGAAATGGCAGAAATATTTTTTCCACATGTGTTGTTTGTAGATGCTATGAAATAGGTTGTGATTTAAATTAAATTGATCAGAAATGTTGCCCAACTCACAATTTGTAGAAATTCAAGAAATTACGCTTTTCCAGAAAAATTAGATATGGCAAAAATAAATTTCTTTTCATATTTATTGCAATATATCATGAAGAATAGGATATTAAGTTCAAATTAAGTTGATAAAAAATTCTGTTCATCTCGAATTTATGAGAAAACCCGAGTTGCAAAGAAATATGCTTTAAAAATATAATTTATATTGAGTAAAATAACGAAGTTATGGTCTACTTGCGGTAGGCCGAAAGTGGCGGTCATCTTGAAAATATTTTCGATGGAAAGTTCCAAATGAATAACCCATGTTATCAAAATTTCAAACCTCTACTGTATATTTATTGCTGCAGATGAAGAGAAATACAATGCAGTTCGAATTAATCAAAGATTATGCTCAACCCAAGATTTACTAAAATTCTCGAAACCACGTTTCTTTTTTTGTATGAAATACGTTGTGATTTAAATTAAGTTGACCAGAAATGTTGCCCAACGTACAATTTGTAGAAACTCAAGAAAATTACCCTTTTCCAGAAAAATTAGATATTCCAAAAATGAATTTCTTTTCACATTTACTCTGCAATATATCCCGAAGAATAGGATATTAAGTTCAAATTAAGTTGATAAACAATTCTGTTTATCTCGAATTGATGAGAAAATCCGAGTTTCAAAGAAATATGCTTTAAACATATAATTTATATTGAGTAAAATAACGAAGTTATGGCCTTCTTGCGGTAGGCCGAAAGTGGCGGTCATCTTGAAAATATTTTAGATGGAAAGTTCCAAATTAACAACCCATGCTACCAAAATTTCATACTTCTACTATATATTTCTTGCTGCAGATGAGAAATACTATGCAGTTCGAATTAAATTAATCCAAGATTTACTAAAATTCTCGAAAACCTGTTTCTTTTTTATAAGTAGTGCTATACAGTACAAATTAAGCTGTTAAAAAATCTGCTTATCTCGAATGTTACAAAAATTCAAAGAAAATTGGTTTTCTAAAGAAATGGGAGATGGCAGAAATATTTTTTCCATTGTTGCTTGTAGATGCTATGAAATAGGTTGTGATTTAAATTAAGTTGATCAGAAATGTTGCTCAACTCACAATTTGTAGAAATTGAAATTACGCTTTTACAGAAAAATGAGATATGGCAAAAATAAATTTCTTTTCATATTTATTGCAATATATCCCGAAGAATAGGATATTAAGTTCAAATTAAGTTGATAACAAATTCTGTTTATCTCGAATTTATGAGAAAACCCGAGATTCAAAGAAATATTCTAAGAAATACTTCTAAGTAAGCTGACCAGAAATTCTGTTCAACCCAAAATTTGCAAAAATTCCAGATCAATCAAGATTTTCAAAGAAATAGGAATTTACAAAAGTGTGTATTTTTTCATATTGTTTAAAGATCCTGTTATCTTGGGATAGATATCTTTGAATGCTTTTTCTGCATCTATCGTGTGGCAACTTTTCGTTCTATGCAAAAAAGTACAGCTTCTTTTTATACTCTGGTCTTGGTATATCTTTTACGAAGAACCCGACTTAGGTCTCAAAGTGAAAATAAATAGAGCGATTTGGTTCAATGATTGATTTTTGAGAAATTATTTCTTTCTAGCTATACAAGTAAATACACGATGGCATCTACACTGGTTTTGATAGTAGTAAATAGACGATATATCGAATTGCAAGAATTCAAGTTAATTGATTTGGGTTTCTCCTAAGAATTTTTTGCCATTTTCAAGTTCTGAACTTGCAACCAAAATAGAGAATCCATTTGATATCCCAATACGAACTAAGGGTTACTTACCAAAGATGATGAGATGAGTACCACCGCAAATTCTTCCTATTCGTGCTTCCTAATATTTGCAGCTAAACATCTCAGTCAGTCTGAGTACCCAACATTTTCTGTAGAAGATATTCACATACTATATGACCGCAAAGAAAGTCGTTGATCCTTCATCCACGAAGGCGAAGTATGTTTTTTCGAAACATTTTTTCAACATCACTAATCCTCTTGACAGTTTCAGCATTATGGTCTTATTGGCCAAGTCTGAACTTCTTTAGATATGCTCCGATGGGGTTTATAGAGCAATTTCGATCTATGAAGATTATCTTCTGCACCTTGCTCACCTTTCGAAATTACCGCTCTGTGTTGGTGCATTGAGCAACTGTAGCTGAACTTATAGAGGAAAATGATCGAATAATAGGGAAGTCTCTTTTAGATATAATCTTTTTATCTGTAATCTTCCGTCCTTTTAGATATCTACTGGCACAACATATCAAAAAGCTTGGTTATGTTTTTTGATGAGGTGTGCTTTAAGTTGCTCGTCTTTGATGTGATGATATCGACATCCACAAACATGCAGCACTGTCTACAAGGTTTACAAATCTGACAGTAGTATTTCGAGGTTCTTAATTACCTATATATCGTTATTAGTAAATAACTTATCCAGTTTTTTTTAATTCCTCCCTCCATCATGAGATGGCGTTAACATTTCATTTACGTTTAATGCTTAATAGATGGCGCTTTTAATTATTATTTTTTATGATCGCAAAGAGCAAACCTTATAATTCGTAAATATAACTTTATAGATTGATTTATATTTATATAAATCTATATATTAGAATATTATAAGAACTTTATAATATTCTCACGTCATGTATAACTTAATAACTGAAATTAAAACAAGTTCCAGGTAATCGATTGTTCTGTTGCTCTATCTCATTGGTGCTTGCTTAAAACATTGTCTGAAATGTTCTTGGAAGAAGGGTTATTGTCCATGCCACTTTCGCGCATGCTCTCTTTCTTGAACATTTTGTATGTAGGTACACTTTCCGGTGTGTCTCTTTCTCTGGTCATTTTCACTGTTATCTTTTGTGACGTCGCGTCGCACCGTATTGGAATGATCCCCGTACTCTTTGTTCCCGTCTTTGTTTAAGAAGTGGTAAGATATTGTTTCTTTATTTGTATTAACTAAATATAGTCAACATTAAAGTAACTTTTTTTACTGGTAAAATTGATAAATGACTAGAAAGTAAATAAGAAAATTAATTTTCCTTAACTTTCTAACTTTGATTTTGAAGGTTTCTTCAATTTAAGCAATCTTGATTGGTTATTAACACACAACTCTTAGAACTACATTATACTAGGTGAATAAGAAATCTAATTATTAAGTGAGAGTTAGCTTTCACTGTGTTATTATCCAAACAAAATTAGTTTGTGTAGTTTTCCTTTTTCACTTTTTTTTTTGTTACTTTCAATGTTTTAAAAAATTATAAATATACATTTCAAATTTAAATTGCTATATATATATATATCGTTTTGTTTAATTATTCAAACGCGCAGACGTTGCCTGTGAACTAAAAGTGTTTAATAACAGTAATTTTTCCACGTGCAGAGTTCGCTTTATCGTTGCCAATCGCGTCATCTTTATCTAACAACATACAGAGATATATGGGTGTTCTCGGAAAGTGGGATTATATAGTGATTTTAGCACCTACATCTCTATTACCTAATTCGAAAAGTTTTATTATCAAAAAGTATATACATGTATGTGAAACCATCGGATTTATCGTATTTATATAAAATTTTTCGATAACGTTTCTATGTCGTATTTCGCCAGAACATCCTGTAGTGTGATGTATAAATTGGTGCGATGTCGCTAGTATCGCCTCGAGGCTCGAGGCGCTCGAGGCACGACAAGCAAGCAACCTTGGATCGGAACGCTCAGCTGTCTACCGTTGATCAGCTGTGGGCTCAGGCGGCGAGTTCGAGTGCGAACGCTGTTATTGGTCGAAAGTAGTGACGTCACCGGAGCGGGGAAATAACGATCAGCTGTTTATGTGGCAACTACGATTTCGTTGTAGACTGACTGGTACCGCTATAGAATTCCAATTTTTAGTGGGGATAGGGTACAAAATATGGTAATTATTATTAGAAATATTGATTTTTCTTTTTTAAATAATTTGTTTCTACCTTAATTTTTTACTTTTTATAACAAATTCTGTTCTAACATATTACTTTATTTTTTATATATAGTTTATATACAGGTGTCAGATAAAAACTGCCCCAAGCTGTATATGTGTATGATCACTATAGCTTTTTCTGTATCAAAATAAACTTGTAACATATCAGTAAGTTCATTACAATTCATGATTTTTTATTAAAAATGAATTAAGCAAGAATCAAAAGTTCAGGGAACTTGTAAAACACAGTAATTACTATTAACACGTTCGCTACCGCACCTTCTGCAGTACTTTTTCCCGTGTACCATTCGTAGTTTTTTTGATTTAGAGATTCAGGTTTGTGTTATTTACATGTTGGTTTAATGTATATGACGTTTTTGCAAAATTTTTGTAAAAAAAACTTAGTCCAGTTTACTGGACTTTGAATTTCTATGTTCTGTACCAACTTTTTCTAAATACAACGTAATGTGCTACACAAACCAAAATGGCTACCCCAAAATATTACAAAACATAACTATTGTGCACTGTGCCAGATTCTGAAACATTATATAAACCAGAGTTTTCTGGACATATCGGGCAGTTGTATCTGAATTTCTTATAAACTTCACCTCTGTTACACTGCCGCCACCTCTTCATCCCGGATTTGCCTTTCTGTGTGGAGAAAACTGTCTCCAGATAATGGAATTGTGATTGTTGGTCTGTGGTTGGCCTAGTATATCCATCATTGACTTGTAGCATATCCTTTATAACTTATTCTCTGAACCTCAAGAGATCAATTTTGGTTGCACCTCTTTCCTTCTTATATATGTAAGAGCCATTCCACATTGCAATATCTATAAGATGAAAGAACACTTTTTTGTACCATCTTATGGTTTCCTGAACATATACGTATTGTAGGCAAGAACACACTCTGCTTCTACCATTCGGTGTTTATGCATTGTTGATGTCATAGCCACCAGTGTAACTAACACTGGACCTTTCCTTTTCCATACAGCTTCTCCTTTCTTAAATTTTTCTTGAAATAACTGTTTCGTGTTTCCCTTTCTAAATTTTCCCAAAGTTCCTACAAGTTTGTCTTCCTTTTGAACAAATATTTTGCTAGCCAGACACTAGTGTAATAATTATTGAAGTATATAATAATAATAATAAACTGCCTTTATTTCCAGAGTAAAGAGAACAAAACAATAATAATAGTCACTATAATGCAAAATAAAGATAACCAAAAAAGAAAAGAAAACAATATTTAAAAAGAAAAATAACTTAAATACAAAACAGCTGGAAATCCCAAGGCCAAGTTCAGAATGCGCCCATAACATGGCCCGCTTCTGCTCTTCCACTTAACCTTAAAATAATTCCACTTTTATTCGTTCCTAGTACATGCCTACTCCTAAAACTAAAACTATTAATTGATTCTGCATGATTGACTTATAATCTATCTTATATATGAGCAATAAAAATATGAAAAATAATATAATGAAATAAAACAAAACAAATTATTCCACTTGCATTCAATGTAGATTGATCTACCACTACACAAGCAAACAAGAAGTCACTGTCGCTCAAATAAATGCTTAAACAACGACGAAACGGAGCTGTACCATGAGCAGGCGGATTAACAACATTTTTATTTCTAATATTTATACTGTGTAAATCCCCTCTAAACTGAATCTTTTTACACAAATAATTAGGCGAGCCAGTTGTGACACAATATATTAATTTATTAATAACGATTGTGAACATTCAGCCAAGTTAACTCTTTAAGCTTATGAGAGATTCTTTCAAATTTTTTTTTTCTGAATATATATGTCATGCAAGCATTCTGCACTCTTTGCACTTTCAATCTATCCAGGAAATCCAAAGATGGATAGTAGACAGGAATATAATAATTAAGCAAAGACAGAACAAAACATTCACAAAGCATCTTCTTCATTTTTTAATTAAAAATATTTTTGAAAGAATAGAGTAGTTTCAATTTCAAAAAACAAACACTTAATGTTTTAGTAATGTGCTGTTTGTACCTAAAGGCATTATCAACAACTAGCCCAAGATTCCTTGCCTGATCAACTATAGGTATATTGCAACCTCGACTTCCACTTTTTTGCCAAAGAGAATAACTTTTATCACGGTTTAATATCAAGGCGTAATTATTTGCAAATTCACTGATATTAGCTAAGTCCTTATTAATTTTCCATGCTGCCCCCTCATATTCACGAAACGGAAAGCTGCAGTATAACTAATTGACAGCTTTTGGAAGCATAGATGTGTATAAACAGAACAGCAAAGGACTCAACACCGACCCCTGCGATACTTCACGCTTCAGCTTCAATTGTTCAGAAATTAAGCCATTCACCTGTACACATTGGCATCTGTCTATTAAATACGTTTTAATCAACTTTATAAATTCCTTCTCGCCTCCAATATAGTGAAGCATCGACAACACAATATCATGGTCAACAACATCGAACGCTTTGCTAAAATCCAACAACACTAAAGCGGTGCACTCTTTACTGTCTTTAGCCTTTAATATATCAGTGACATTTAAAAGTGCAGTTGTACAACTACGTCTAGGTGCAAATCCCGATTGACAGTTTGGTAATATATCATTTGAAATAATAAAGTTTTTAAATTGGTAGGAAATAATTTTTTCCAGTACTTTGTTCAAGGTAGGAAGAATAGAAATCGGTCGCAGGTGCTTAAAGTCAGTAGATTATTCGATTTTCGGTATTGGGACGACCACAGCAGACTTCCACTGCGGGGGAAAATGTGACTCAACTATGCAGCTGTTTATGAGATGTGTGATATATGAAAGGGCGTAAGGAACTATTCAACCATCTGCGCAAATATGCCATCAGAGCCAACAGATTTACTGGTGATTGACCTGATAATGCCAAATACAGTATCTTCATCTACCGTGTGAAGATCAGAGGGTGTATTCAAATTACTATAGCTGTTATTTGAGTAAAATAATATCGTATCCTTTATGTGAGTAATATTGACGTCAGGAATACCATCAATTTAACACCCTGTATATGGAAGGGCGTAAGGAACTATTAATTCAATCATCTGCGCAGATATGCCATCAGAGCCAACAGCTATATTTCAATAGTCTTTTAGTAGCTCCGTTACGATTGAAAACGTGTAGAAATGCTCTTGATCATTGTCTATTATAGTGCTGAATGTTTTGAATATTTGCCATTGTCACAGGAAAAATGGTTTTCGCTCGAAATTCATGATAAATGGTCAACAATGTACTCTAATTCAGCTTTCTTTTTCGTCGTTGTAAATGGTCCTGATCCCTTGCCCTTGTATTTCGCGTACTAGAGCTAACCATAATACAAAATCATTTATTTGTACAATTTCAAACTAAGCAGTACTCGTACTTACCCACGAACTACTAAATTCTCAGTTGCTTTCATTGTTCTTACACAAGAAATACGACTACAGCTAATTGAACAAAGCAGTAAAGAACAACAACTGGGTGTACTAATAAATGCACATGCAAAAGGTATTCCCCGTATTCGTATTTCAAACATGAGAAAATACTATCCCCATCATCAATGCTGATGTCAATGCTGTTTCTGTGGTTCAAGTACAGGCTACGATATTATAAGCACCATTTAAATGCCAGTATGCTACAACTTACAGAAACTACCTGTATAGCACCGTTGATGAGAACTCTTAATAATTTTACCTACCTCTCTTAATTATATCTTCTTAAGTTAATAATTAGCTTAGAATGAGTTGTAAAACCTGTGAGCTTAGAATGTTGTTACAGTAAGGGGTATTGAAAGTGTGAGTAAACCATTGAACAGCTGTTTCTGAACTAAATAGGTGATTCTCCGGTTTCTTTTCTTTCTGTATGGAAACTTATATTGAGATTTTTTTTTAAATAATGTTCAGAAGTTAGTACCTAGTTTATTTAATATTTTACCGAGATGTTGCCATATAATTCCATTTATTCAAGCTTGAATTGATTGAAGTTACGCCTAATCTTCTAATAATATGGACAATTCATTTTGTTAGAACTCTAAGTATAGATAAGTCAAGCTGTTGTCAATTATTTTATGCCATATATTTATAAATAGTAGTGGAAATGGAAATGTTTCAATAATTCGCAGAAAATCCCAATCTGAAATATTGTGGATTCCAAATCTTATGAATACTGAACGGTAATAATAAAGAATTAATCCATCATGTTAATAAAAAAATAACAAAATGTAAGGGAGACGGGAGAAATATACGTCCAAAGACACTCATACAAAGTGTGGAGGTGTGGCTAATGAGAAGAAATATATGGAAAACATCTGTTGCTCAGCAAAATTCTGGAGTTCTCTTGAAGCTAGAAGTTTGAAGTTGCGAAAGTGCTATGTACAATTTTCTTATCTAATCTCATCCTAAGAAGACAAAATTGGTTGGGTCACGTAAAAAAGACTCGCATATATGGCATCATGGCATATTTTAGTTTAGAACTTTAAACTTATATAACGCTACGTCAAAATTAAGAATCTCTAACGATGCTATCTTAGAAATAGAAAAAGTTGCAACATCTCGAACTTTTGCCGAGTCTAGAATGATACGAAGACACGCCAAATGAAAATAGTTCAGCATAACACTCAAGCTCTGGGCACATTTTTATTTAAATTGGATCTAATCAATTACAGGCTAGGACTAAAAGCAAAAATGAAGCACTGCGCCAAAATTAAATCATCCGAAGGATACGCTTTAGTAATTGAAAACTATAATTATCTGGAAATATTTAAAATCCTGCAAGTGGCAACACCACAAGTAGTTAAGCACCCTTGTGGTTAAGGAGTTAGCTTAACCATTATCACTTTTAGCTCATGCAACTACTAAACCCAAGATCCTTCAGCGACGTATTCATTTTGTACCATATGCTCATGCTGACCCAACCATTGGGATTTTCCGTTTGCATCAACTCATGCATATACTTTGAAGTA